GTTTATAGGTATGTATTGTTTCAATTTTGTGTATTATGTTTTTTTAAAATTTTCTTTATGTTGAATAATTTTGTTTTTATGAATTGAAGACGTGATTTGCTGGATGATTTCTCGGTTTGGTTATTTATTTTATGAATTGAAAACGTGATTTGTGAAGTATTTGTATTGTTATAAAGTTTTTTGTTCTGGTGTTTATTGTTATGAAGTATTTGTGAAAACTGAGAAAGTTCTTAGTATTGTTCTGGTTTTGATTGATACGATCTTTTTTTTCTTGTTTAGATTGAAAGATGAGTGAAGGTTGTACATGTGCGCCTATTTTTTTGTTGTGCAAGTATAATGGTTGCACATTTGCAATTAAGATTGATCAAAATGTGACATATGATCAGCTGGTTGAGAAGCTATGTTTGAAATGGGATAATTTGCAATCTGATAATATTTGTCTATCTTACTCATTGCCTGGACATCCTAATTGTACGTTGGACAACAATGAGGAGTTAGATTTGTTGTTGGCATTAGTTGTGCATTTTGATTCAAAGTGTATTGATGTTGTTGTGCGAGTAAAAGACTCAATCATTGACTGTGGTTATCTCAACAACAGATTGGATTATGGAGAAAGAGAGTCAATGTTGGATCTTGAAGTTTGTGATATTGCATTGTCTCATGACAGCAGTAAGTCTGTGAACTTGTCAAACGGAGCATCTACATCCTCCAAAAGGAATTCGAGGTTGGAGATTGAAGAAGAGGTTGATATGTTATCATCATTTTGTCGACACAAGGGAAAAGTACTGTTGTCTGCTGGTTGGGCAGTTAGTATTACACATGTAGGACAAAAAATTGAAGGTGGAATTGTTAAATTTCGTAATGCATTGTCGAAGTTTTCTATTGAGTGTGGATTTGAGTTCATATTTGTCAAGAATGATAAAGTTCGTGTTACGGCACAATGTTTGTTTAGAGAGACAAAAGGTTGTATGTGAAATGTTCATGGTAGAGTGGAGAATGCTAATGGGTTCTTTTATATAAGGAAGTTGAACAATGTCCACACATGTGGTGCTGAAGTACGTACGATGACTCATTCTCGTATGAGTTCTGATTTTGTTACTGATTTGATTGTTGAAGGTGTTCGTGATAATCCATTGGCACGTCCAGTTCATGTTGTTCGGAATTTTAAGTTAGGGTATGGGCTGAGAGTTAATTATCGTCAAGCTTGGTTGGGGGTAGAGAAAGCAAAAAGTGAGATTTTTGGAGACTACTTAATGTCATTTGACCAGTTAAGATGGTATATGGATGTTGCAAAGAGTTGCAATCCAGGGAGTTACATTGAACTTGAGTGTGACGATGATACTAAACGGTTTAAGAGATTATTTGTTTCTTTTCATGGTTCCATTAGTGGATTTGATTATTGTCGACCTCTCTTATTCCTGGATGGCACATTTTTGAAGGGAAGATTTAGAGGAAATTTACTGACTGCTACAGGAAAAGATGGAAATCAAGGTACATAAGAAATTTGTTTTCTCTGTTCTGAAATTGAGAAAGTTCTCAGTTTAGAAATATGATTGAATGTTTTAAATTTTATATAATATTGTTGTTGTATATGCATTTTTTATTTTTTCAGTTATTCATTTTAGTGTTTGATATTTTGAATGTTAGAGTGTTACAATTTTCTAAGAATAATATAATATTTTCATTTTTTCTGTTTTGTACATGCAGGGTTCTTTCCTGTTTGTTTTGCAGTTGTTGGCTCAGAGAATCAAGATAATTGGAGCTGGTTTTTGGAGCATTTGAGTAGAATTGTTTCACCAGAACGAAATATTACATTTGTGTTAGATCGTAACCTTGGATTAGTTGAAGTGTTGCCAAAGGTTTTCCCAATGGCTTTCCATGCTTATTGTTTATATCATTTGAAGATGAACTTGAGGCATCATTTGCGTGGTATGTTTCATGGATTGAAAGAAAAGCTGATCACTTTGTTTGGGAAATGTGCATATGCTCCAACTGAAGAAACATTTCATCAATGTTTGGTTGAGTTAAAGACTGAAGGTGGGTCAAGAGTTGAAAAGTTTTTAGATGACATACCATATGATCATTGGAGTAATGCATATTTTCGAGGGCAACGCTTTGGAGAGATGTGGTCAAATGTAGCTGAATCTTTCAATTCGTGGATACAATAGGAACGCCACTTGCCTATCACAAAGTTGATTGATAGTGTAAGAATTAAGTTGATGAGGAAAATTGCTAAGAGGAGGGAACTTGTTAATAAATGGAATGGTTTGATTTGTCTTAAAATGGAGTCCAAGTAGCATGATGGTTTTAATACTTTGAGGCCATGGATTGTTAGTTCATCTGAAAATGATGTCTATGAGGTGTATTCACATCCACCTGTTTCAGTTGACATTAGTAGACGAATATGTTCTTGTGGCGAGTGACAGTTGAAAGGGTTTCCATGTGCACATGCAGTTGGAGCTATACAAAAGAGTGGACATGATTTGAGTTTATTTGTTAATCAATACTTCTATGTTCAAAGTTATCGAGAGTCCTATTCTTTTCCCATATATCCTATTCCTTCAATTTGGAAACCAGATTGTAATGTTGATGGTGATAGTGAAGTTGTTCTTCCTCCTTTGTCTAAGAAGCAACCAGGAAGGCCAAATCAGAAGAGGATTCGTTCAAATGATGAGAAAGTGAGGCAAATTACTTGTAGTAGATGTGGGAAGGTTGGCAATCACAATAAGAAATCGTATAAGAAGGCTTTGTGATTTTTTGTAGTTGCTTTGTGATTGTAAAAATTTCGTATTGATAAATTTCTTGAAGTAGCAATTTGTGCTGTTGAGCACTGAGTAATAATCTTCTATGTTTTTTAATAAAGTGATATTGAATTGAAAGTGAAAATATTCTTAGTTTCAGATATTAATTTTTGAAATTGTTTGTGATAATATTGTTTGGTTGGCTTTCGGAAATAAACTTGACTGTTGAATGTTTGTTTTGCAAATTATGTGAATACCGTATAAAAAGTGAACATATTCTCAGTTTAAGTTTTTAGTTCAAAATAGTTGCTTTTGTGATAATAGTGTGAGGCTCTTTTTATGAATTGAAACTAGTTATAAATGTGATGAATTGAATGAATGTGAATTAATATTCTAAATAGATGTGGTCAATACTTTATGTTTTGATTAAAGTAACGGTGGATTGTAAGTGAAAATATTCTTTGTTTCAAATTTTAGTTTTTCAAATTGTCATAATATTGTGAGGCAGCAAATAAATTGTTGTGATAATATTGTTGTTTGAAAATTGAGTGATCTGTGTAAAACTGAAAATATTCTCAGTTTTAAAGTTTCTAAGTTTGAAAATAAATGATTGTGAGGCAACAAAACACTGTATAAAAACTGAAAATATAAACAAAAACATCAACAAAGCACTGATTGTGATACAGTAAAGTCTTGTGTCCCTATTTTCATATGTAATACTATTTTCGCTTTTCCCATATAGTAGTGTGAGGAATAGGATAATAGAAACTGAGAATATGGACAAAAACATCAACAAAGCTCGGGTGCATATATCTTTGAGAGTATGACAAAATATTCCATTACACATCATAGAAATTGTAATATGTTTGTTAGGTAATATGCTTGGAACTATTAACAAAAACATTAGTCATTGTATCAGAGTGTTACAAAAAAGAGTTCATTGAGTTACACATCAAAAAAGATTTCATTGAAGGTTGCAATCTTGACTCTACTTGACTTTGATTGATCTTTGTGGATCACTGAGGAACTCATGTGCCATGTCTGCTCTGAGTCTTGTGGATGTGCCTGGTGGCAATGTGTTTGGAATTGGTTGATGCCTGATGTATTGTCTTATGATGTGGCAAACAATAATTCCACAGTCATTCCTGCAGATATCATTTTTGGCACAGTTAGGGAAAAAAGAATTTTTTTTGAAAAAGATACTAAAATTTGTTAGTTAGAATAAATTAACATACTTCATTGCTTCTTGTTGAGGGCTGTCTTTGACTGATTCAATCTTGACATCAGGATTCCAGGCTTTTTCTGCTTGACAAGGTGTATCCTTCATGTATTGATGGATGATTTTTTGCTGTAAAAAACAACAACATAAAGTATGTAATGATTTATATCTGATTATTGTAATGCTAATTTGAAATTGTTCTTACCAGTTGATTTGCAACGTTGTAGTGCTTGTCCTTTTCTTTTCTTGGTCTCAAAGAGTTGAAATGTTTCTAAGTCCCAAAGTGTTTGTCGATAACAAGTAATGTCCAATGATTGGATGTATCTACATGTGAGGGATTTTTGGAAAGTATTTTTCAAAAGCTTTTTCCTTTTTCCTGAAGTTTTCTTTTTCAACATTGGCTGTTTTTTACAAAAAAATATGAGAATATTCACAATAATTGTACAAAACTTAATATTCAAATCTCGATCAAAAGCAACAAAGCATGATTAACTATGATTTGTCACTCAAATTGTTTTAAAATCTGGGTATATTTCCAACAATGATACCCAAATCAAAATTGAAGAACATTCACAGCAATGATAACAAACACAAAAAATCAACTTTGAAACCAAAATCGAAAGGAAGATAATGTATAGAATTGACAAATGCACATTTATTCTTTACCCAATATAGACTTGACAGTACAAAAGATTTGCCATTGTGCTCTGCTCCATCACCAGAATTCTGTGCTTGTGGTTCTCTTTGAAGAATCTCAGCATATGCATCAATTGTCTATCAAATTGAAACACAAAAGTGATGTTAACAAATTAATGAGAAGTTTTTCAATGTTAAAATATTACAAATATTATATGTACATAGCTGGATATGTCTATCCCTTTTACTAAGTTCTTGATATCATTAATAAACACACAATTTTCATATCTTACGCCAAACCATATACAAGCACTACAAAATAATAAAAAATGTGTTAATAATTAAGGGTTGGTTTGGGATGTCCCAAAAAAGTGCACTTTTTGACTTATTGGTGGGTTTGGGTTGGGTTTGGGTTGGGTTTGATGTGATGTGTTAGAGAGGTGATGTGATTTAAATAAAATGATGTGACTTAAATAAGATAGTGACTTTTTGATTTTTTGACTTATTTAGTACATGCCAAACTAGCCCTAAGTCAGAATATTTTTAGAAAACAGAGCTATTTCTCAGTTTCATTTCATATATTTGTACTACATGAAAAATTGAAAGATTTATGTAAGATTATACCTTGATTCTGTTTGATTTTCTTTCCAAAGAATTTGTAGTTTATATTTATCTTCAGGAGGTAGCAATTGAGCCACAGCATACTTGTTTGAAATTGTCTCATCTTTGTGTTCCTTCTCTTTCTCAACTTTAACTTTCTTGCCCCTATACTCATAATCTGACACCTTAGTAGTCTTCCTTGCTTTAGCTTTGATATTTTTAATCATGGAATTCTGTAGATTTGTTTGTCTTGATTCTGTCAGATCATCGGCTTTTATTGGACAAGCTTGTTGGGTTAAGTCATGGACTTCTTCCTCCAGTAACTGATTCTGCAACTGAGAATTTTGACAATCTTTCACATTTGTATTTGTCTTACAACGTTTTGTTACAAAAGGTTAATGCGTCATCTCATGGACCTCTTTTTGATGGAGCTCTTTGTCCACAACTTCAGAATTTTCATGGACCTCTTTCTGATGGAGCTCTTTGTCCACCACTTCAGAATTTTCATGGGCCTCTTTCTACAGCACTTGATAATTTTCATCGTTTATTGTATAACCTTCATTCTTTGCATCTGTCCCAGAATGTTTTACTGCACAAACTTTTTGGTTATCTCATGGACCTCTTTTTCAGCCAATTGGTTATGCAATCGAGAATTTTCATCTTTCAATTGTTGTATTTGTGCTGTGAGTAACCTGTTATCCTCTTCAAGTTTATTTATATAGATGGTCTTCACTGTGTTGTCTAGTTGCAAATTGTTGTTCTCAGTTTGAAGTTTCTCAAGTGTTTGTTGATGAATTTGTTCTTCTCCCTCAGGTGCATCATTGAGTATAATGTTGCAGAAGTCATTAAAGTCTTCATTTGCTGGCTTTTGTTCTTGGTGGCACTCTTCAGCATATTGACCATCTTCTTCTTCTTCTTCTTCATCTTCTTCAGAATCTTCTTCTTCTTCTTCAGTATTTTCAGCATCTTGTTCTTGTACTTCTTGTTCTTCTTCTTCAGCATCTTCTTGTTCTTCATCTTCAGCATTTTCAGCATCTTCTTTTTCTTCTTCTTCAGTGTCATTAAGTTCTTCATCACTTTCCTCATTCAATTGAGCACTAGTTACCTGTAGGTTAACATACAATAGATATTAGTTTTTGAAATAATTGAAGTTTATAAAACTAAAAAGTTTCTCAGTAATAATTCAGTGTATAAAAATAGGGATTTTTCCCAACTTGAATTGAAATTAAAATGAGATGAGAATATGACATGTCTTGTTGTCAGCTGATGTAGTGATATGACTTTCATACGTTTATGTAATTTGGCAAGATTCCACTTGATCACCCTTGGGCATGCTTTGCTAACTTCAGGGTGGATGATCAGTGTGTGCTCATACAACCAATACTACAAAGCAAATGTAAAGAATTTTTGTCATTTGAATAAAAAGTAATACTATCTGTTATTAACAACAAACTAATAGAATAGAGTAAAGATGTACTTACTAAGAGAGCCATAACACATCCTGTGACTTTTGCTGAATTTTTGTGGTATTTTTCAATTGAAGACATCAGTGTGTTCCTTATTACTTCTGCCCAATTGTATTTTCTCATTAAGTTTATGTCTTCCATATAATTAAGAAATACCCATCCAACTGTTACTCCTAATGTAGAGAAAAAAAGCTTCAAACAAGTATACATACACAGCATCCTTATCACATCTTCATTGTCTTCTTTCTTCTTGTCTTTCAATGCTTTTTGCAACAAGTTGGTGATGGTTGTGCTCGATAGCCTTTCAGTTTGTATGCATCTTCTTGTCAGAAATGATGATCTGCTTTTATTTCCATAACCAAGATGTATCGGCTCATCTCCACAAGATATATCGAAGATGGACTTGATGTCTTCTGTTGTTAGATTTACAGTTTCTGGTCCTAACTAGAAAGAACCACTGCTGCCTGGCTGGTAAGTTTGAATTATTTTCAATGCAATGTCATCATATTTTCTGCATTGTTTACAATTCATCTTGTTTTTCAATATTACATCAAACAATGCCCAAAATGGGGTTTTCTTCAAGCCATTAATATGCTTATTCCTGAGTTTGATGTGCTGTAATAGCTTCACTATTGTCACCATGTTTGATCTGAAAGTTTGTTCTTGTACTTTTTGTTCTTCTTCTTCAGCATCTTCTTGTTCTTCGCCATCAGTATTTTCAGCATCTTCTTTTGTTCTTCTTCAGTGTCATCAAGTTCTTCATCACTTTCCTCACTGAATTGAGCAGTAGTTACCTGTAGGTCAACATATAATAGATATTAGTTTTTGAAATAATTAAAGTTTAAGAAACTAAAAAGTTTCTCAGTAATAATTCAGTATAAAAATAGGGATTTTTCCCAACTTGAATTGAAATTCAAAGGAGATGAGGATGTGACCTGTCTTCTTGTCAGTTGATGTAGTGATATGACTTTCATACGTTTATGTAATTTGATAAGATTTCACTTGATCACCCTTGGGCATGCTTCGCTAACTTCAAGGTGGATGATCAGTGTGTGCTCACACAACCAATACTTTAAAGCAAATGTAAAGAC